TAATTATAGGAATGCACTGTGGATGGGAAACTCCCTGGTGTGGATTAACGTCCGCACTAGTGAGTATTACGACTATCCGCAGTACTATCCTGATAATAAGACCAATTCGTATATACCAAGGAAAAAATGTGGTTCGGATTCCACTATAAACTGTAGGTCCCTTAGTTGCCATTAGCTGTTTGGGCTATTAATTAACAGCTGTGTCTAAGGAATGTCGGCCTTAGTCACTATGAAGACTACAAGATCACGCCACTCATCCTACACTCATCTCCATTCATACTTGGCTTAAAATACCTACATTGTATGGTCGCCATTTCATAAGAAAGTATTAAAGTATTCCATCCATAACGAAACTAAGAAAGTTCTACAAACATATTTATGACTAGCAGAGTACCCGTCCTTCGTACGGGGTTGGAATATAAGTATAAAATGCTTATTGCAGTTATACTCAAGCTTTGCGTTTGCAATAAGGGAGGAAACAGTTTGATAAAATTTGTTTTTTTAATTTACAGTATTCTATAGTATTACACATCTACCATAGCCATAATGTTCTACCACTTCATCTAAACAACAGAGAAAAATAAATTATCAACAATTTGCAAAATATCACAAAATATTCATGAAATGAAAAACATAAACATAACTGTAAACAATCCTACTTTGACAGTTCTCATTGCGAATCACAGTTTTTTGTTGCTGCTTAGTTCATATTAGCAGTTTTCATAAATGCAAAAAAAATATAGTGCTGCACCCTGTTGGTAAATCTTATAACTTTTTAATGCTTTTCTATATCATAGAACCAACTTTTTTTAGTTGAAACAGCTGACTAAATTCTTTAACTCCCTTTAAATATGAATACTCATAAGGTTAACATGGGGAATTACAGAAACCACTGGGGCGGAGCCTGAAAGGATTTTTGAGATAAGAATATGCCTATATGTTAATCGGGAATGTAAGTTATCATCATGCAAAATTTCAGCCCAATCCGTCCAGTGGTTTATGCGTGATTGAACTTCAAACAAACAAACAAACAAACACACAAAATTTCACATTTATAATATTAGTAAGATAACCCAACCTAACATAACCACCGCAGCACGCTGTATAAGGGTGGCCTCCGGATAATATCAAAGTAGCATTAATACCGTACTTTTACTCTTGGCACAATGGGTTCGGCGCATTCCACTAATGTACTGTTGAAAATTGTATGAAATAATTGATTCATATTTAAAAGTATCTTTTACTAACTAAACTAAATCTGTGTACAACTTGTAAACAAATCAAATATAAACAATAACAATAATCACATAATAATGACATCGATCTGTCCACCTATCATCTACTATATCTATCTATACTATTATAAAGAAAAGGTGGTGTTTGTGTGTTTGTATGAGATAAACTAAGCTACTGAACTGATTGGACTCAAATTGGACAAAAATCAAGCTACCGCTCCGAGGATTAGAACTACCCCCCACCTTCGATATTGAACTAGTATCTGCTCCACGGGCTTTCAAAATTCTGAGGTGAGGGATTTTTAACTTATTTAATACGCAAGCAGGATTTTCTGTGACATTTACTCCTCCGAAACTACTAAACCAATTGGCATGTTTTTTGTGTCATTTTTGGAAAGAGCGTAACGTGAAGTTGTGCAGGAAACTTTCTTTTTAGGGAAATAATTAGGGTGAGGCCCTGGGGCCCTTTACGGGTTCATATTTCTCCATAAGATTCATGGGAAACAGACATTGTTATGTAACTCCAGCTGTTGTCAGAAATTAAAAACGAGAAGAATAACTTATGTTAATTGTAAACATTATGTAATTTACACAACTATGTGTAGTAGGTTTATTTATGCAATTGATTATTGAAGTGAAGAAAAATTCTATAACCATAAGTTATAAAAATTATGTTATTGATATATTTTAATGTAAACAGTAGGGTAATTACAATGTAGGGCATACATTTTTGTAAAAATTTGATTGCTATTTGTTTAAAAAATTCAATCTACTTAACAAGTGTTTGGATTAAGCAGTATGGACTTTTGGTACATCTTCCCGTTGCGAATCACGGGCACAGCAGCTAGTTCCGTTTATTCACTAATTGTAAATCACATTATGGTATTTGGTAAGTGACTGTTTAGTACAATTTTAAAGAAACGTGTCCAATATCATTCAAAACAGTGATTTGGATTGTTTTGTCTAAAAATCTTTCAAAAAGTATAATCCGACGACTAAATAAAATAAATTAATACAAGAAATAGAATAGTTTTACCAACAGCAGAATATTAGTTTGGTTCTCTTTTGTGATTACTACGTGAAATGAAAACAGTATTTAGGTTGGAAATTAAAGGACAATCGCGATCTCGCAACTACGGGAAAGTGAACTGACCTGAGTGAGCCAACACCTCAATAACTGGAATGGTTGATGTGAAAGAAAAATCTAAGAAATTTCAGATTAAGTCCATTCGTAGAAACGTGCGAGGGGATAAACGGGACATCCCTGTATTCTGTTCCCTAATATTTCCTTTAAAGTTCCCAGTACTGACTGTTATGGGGTTGTTTATATTAAACAATTGGCCGAATACTTTGCACCAGGTGTCCACGTCTACATTTTACAACATGCATTTCGTTCAACCTTCCCAGAAATAATTCGCGGTTCGTTCCTGATTGTTTAATAATGAGGCATATTATGCTATTGTTCTAAATACATACGAGAGATATTCAAAAAGGCAAAAACAAAGAAAAAAGTTTTGAGGTAATAACAAGCCTATATTTTAATCAGGAAAGTGTTATCATCATGCCAAATTTCAGCCTAATCCCGATGTGCCCAATGAATTGTTATTGAGTGATTGAACCCCAAACAAACACACAAACATTCATTTGTAATATTAGTAAAGTAGCACTGTACTTCAACGTATGAATCAGGCCGTAACTCAATTGAAATAAACGCTTAGGCCAGTTACATTTTTAACATCCAAATGTAATATTATTTCGCCAAACACCGTTGATCAGTTATTAAACGGAGGCAACTGGTACCAAAAGTCATTATCTTGCGAAAAAAAAGAATTTGTTTTCAAACAAAAATCAGTTTAACAAAAATAAAGGACTTTGGCTTTGACTTTTTTCAGGTTATAATCCTAAGACAAATTTGTATCTAATCGTATAATGAAACTGCTTGATGCATAATTAAGGTTCAAATGAATCAGTAATATTATTTTAACCTATGTAGATACGATATCCTGCACATTGTGAAAATTGTTTAGTCGAGGATACATTTACACATAAACATCATCATTATTTAAATATTTAATTGGCCAACACAAATGTTGTGATTATTGTTTTGAAACTGCTACACATCCGATATCATCAAGTTTAACGTGTCGTTGGATAGGTCGTAACATGTAAATTTGCCATAAAACAAAACACATTTGAAATTCCATCAGGGCTCTGCCCCAGTGGCCTTCAGCCAATTGAAAGCGTCAATATACGTGATTCAATTTATTTCATATCACGGACGATTACTTAATATCAAACATTAGAAATGACAAAATAAATGTAAAAATAAACGGTATCAGCATTCTGAAACATACTTTCTCCCATAAGCTTGTTAACATCCTATATCATGGGAAAGCGGTGATAGTATATAGTTCAAAATCACAAAAGCTGTAATAACTTTTGGACCATAATTGTTACAGCAATGGGGTGTTGTCAACAACCCATTGCTGTAACAATTATGGTCCAAAAGTTAGGTGTTGTACTATTTTTTTAAAACATCATTTGTTTATGTTTATAATCCATACCGGGTCTCTTCTAGTACTCGTGGTCTAATCACAGAATACCGATAATTTCACCCGAATTACCTTTTGAATTCAAGTGAATAAAATTTTCTTTGCGTCTTGCTTTCGCAATCACCATTATAAAATGGCACAAGACTATCCCTGACTATCGCCGGTTTAAATGTATAAAATGCATGCTTTTCACACGTATGTTGCGTGCGCACGTGGTGGTAGGTGCGCATAAAAACTTATATATATATATATATATATATATATTTATATATATATATATTTATACGCCTAATGAAAAAAAAATTGTTTATTCACTGGCAATTAAGTAAAATAACTATTCTATTTTTGTTTTTGGTATACGTTTTTATCATCTCATATTAATACGCGAGGACTGTGTTTTGTGAATGCTACTCCTCCTTTATTTGTGGACAAATTTCAACGTTTAAGGTGTTGGTGTTAAAGGATTCGGACCAATTCGTAGTTTTGCATTAAGGTTTTAGAATTTAAAAGTTCCTACCCTTAAGGGCGTGAGACCCTTTTAAATGTCGGGTTTTCACCATGTTAATAATTGTATTACCCACGTATTACCTATCAATCTTTCTTCCGAAAATAAACTAAAATGTCCAGATATGCTATTTAAGAGTTAGGTACATTAACTTTCTCTAAATTAACTGAATCAAAGTACCAATATATTTAATGCTACAGAATATAAATCCAACCGATTTATTTATTGATAAATCCAACCGCGAGATGGTGGGTTGTCGAGGTGGCACGTTGTCGCCTATGAGCGAGGTGGCGCGTTGACGGCACCGAACACTGAGCGTACACGTCAACCCGCCACCTCGTAAAAGAGTGGTGGCGGGTTGACAGGGTGGCACGTTGTCGCCTACGTACGAGGTGGCGGGTTGCCGACATCGAACATGGAGCTTCACGACAACCCGCCACCTCTGATAAAAACTGGTGTTGGCGTGTTGTCGTGGTGGCATGTTGTCGTGGTGGCTCATTGACTTGAGTGTGTACGACAACCCGCCACCTCGGAAAATTGTGTGGTGGTGGGTTGTCGTGGTGGCCTGTTGTCGAGGTGGTGGGTTGACATGTACGTACACGTCAACCCACCACCTCGGTTTTTTTGTGGTGGCGGGTTGACGCCTCTGACCAAAACACCGAGGTGGCGGTTTGACGTGGTGGCGCATTGACAGCGACCCCTGAGAGTTCAGAGGTTGGTTAAAGCACTTTTTTAAAATTCGACCATTTATACTTGATAGTAATTTTTATTAAATCATTTTGTTGTATTCATATTTTGATCTCGAAAAATTAATGATATGGAAGTAGACAATGTATTGGCGTTGTACGATTTTTTGAATAATACACTGAATCAAGAAAGAAATGTATGCGTTATCAAGTCAAACTTAATGTAAGTACATTTAACAAAAGGGTACAGTTTTTTAACTGGGCTTTGCTAATATGGATTGAAACTATCGAATTGAAAATATTGATTAATAATCGATATTTTAAAATATATCTATTATAAAATTTAACTATCATAACCTAACCTAACCAACCAAACTTGCTGATGGTGGGGTACAGTTTCTTAACTGGGCTATGCTAATATCGAATGAAACTATCGATTCGATTAGTAAATCTTCATGCGATTTTTTCACCATCAGCAAGTTTGGTTGGTTAGGATAGGTTATGATGTTTAATTTTAAAATAGATATATTTAACTTAAAACTATCAATTAATCAATATCTTCAATTCGATAGTTTCAATCGATAGCATAGCCCAGTTAAGAAACTGTACCCCTCGTATATATTATGACACATTGTGTCAATGTTACGTTGAAGGAATGTGATGTTTTAGCTTAACACAACTACCTTTTCCATCGTCCGTAATTTATGAAAAACAGTTTTGTTATTTAAAATTGGGTATAAGACCTATGGCATTTAAAAGCCTTCCACACACATTAAAAATTAGTCTAGATCTGCTTTGTAGAACAAAAACCTGTGATATGCAATGAGAACTGTCAAAGTAGGATTGTTTACATTTACGATTATGTTTTGAATTTCACTAATAATTTTTGATATTTTGAGAATTTTGTATAATTTATTTTCCTCTTTTGTTCAGGTGAAGTGGTGGAACATTATGGCTATGGTAGATGTGTAGGTAATACTATAGTATAGTAGTATACCATAAATTTAAAGAAGCAAATTTTATCAAAATGTGACCTCCCCCATTGCAAATTTGCAAAGCTTGAGTACCCTATAACTGTAATAAGCATTTTATACTTATGTGCCCACCCCGTACAAAGGACAGGTACTCTGCTAGTCTTATAATAATTTTGAGATTTAAAAAAACTCATGCCCTAAACTGGGATCTGATGATTTTCGGTAGCGTCATCACTTAGGCTAGTCTAGAAGCCACTGCCCAACCTTTCTGCTAAAAACTGCAACACTGTCCCCCTCCCATTCTCTTAGCTGATGACGGAAAGCCATCTTGTGTATGGGGACATGTGGAAACGTCAATTCTAACCACATTACAGTGGATATTGATCAGATTGTAGGATTGGTACAAACACTCACACTCAACATTCCTGAAATATGTAGCCTACAAGTATTTCCAGCCTCCAGGCTTAACTGCTTTAGGCCTACTTTGTGAGAGTAGTTTTTCACAAGCAGGAATGTAGCGTACCAGTACCTATTCCATAGCCTCTGAGCCCATTTCATAGCCATTATGAGTTAATACTCTATAAGGTGTTATTAGTCTTCATTTAGCGGTATTCTATAAACTGTCTGCTTTTCAGGCACAAATGTTTGTTAAAGGCAGAGGAAGAAAACTCCACTCTCGATATCAGGTCCATTTGTTGCCGATGGTGCTTAAATCCACTTTCTACGCAGACATGTAATGTGGCGCTTCAACCTCAGAAACAACCAAAAAAGCGGCTTCGTTCATTGATGAAGAAAGATGCTCATTCACTTAATAATTTTCAAGCGAAGTTGATTGAAAAAATTAAGAGTAGACCAGCAACCAATACTATGGTAATTTATGTGTTCCCAATTTTTTTAATTATTACTAGACATTCTAATCAAAATTAGCTATATTTTAGGGTGGAAAAGCGAAATCAGGGAACAATATTCTATGTTATGCATATTTCTCTCTCTTAATACAGTAGTTTTCAACCAAATCTGTCATTATACCTACTCTCTTTTATTGAGCTTATGCTGACCTCAAAAATGATAGGTACCGTAACTCTACAGGGTAGAACTGTTGGATTTCAATACTTCCTTAAACTATAGAATATTGTTTATTCTACTAACCATTAGTTGTTATCACCTTGATATTCAGGTTACTTTGATTTAAATTGTACTAGAGGGCCCATGCTGCTCAGCAGCGTTGAAACAAATATCATATCCAAGAAAAAATTAAATTTATAATTTTTGACGGAGTAATACAGTACCTTGTGTTGTAGATTGAATGAATAAAACCATTATAAACGAAATTACCTTTAGTTAGGCTTTATTGAACATAGAATCTACCATGATATAGAACTAACAATATGAAACAAACTAACATCATAGTAAACAAAAACAACTTCTAAACATTTGAACAGATGTTACAATGCACAGATAGAAAGGAATTATATGACATTCTTCCCCTCCTAGCTGACATAGTCTTTTAGATACAAAGGCGGGTGTTTACTTCTGGAGCTTCTCCTTAGAGCAATCTGGTCCTGATTCAGTCTTTCCTCGTCTTGGAAGATAGGCTCAGGTCCAGCATCAACTTGAGAATTTCTTTCATTTATTTGTAGATTGGTGTTTGAGTCTTCTTCATGTCGTAAATTGGTGTTTGAGTCTTCTTCATGTCGTAGATTGGGATTTGAGTCTTCTTCATGTCGTAGATTGGAGTTTGAGTCTTCTTCATGATGTGACACTTCTCCTACAGGTGCTAATTGCCTGGAACTCACTGTAGTTTCACGGCCATCTGCATATCTTATGTGAGAATACTCAGGATTCCCTTCAAGGAGTAGTACTTCTTCAACGAGTGGTTCGTATTTCGAGCTCCTGACAGGCCGTTTCATGAGCACTGGACCTGGATTCATGAGCCAAGATGGAGTTGTCTTACCATTACTAGATCTTCTAGAAAAGAGAAATAGTCTTTCATGCGGTGTTGTATTTGTTGAAGTACACAATAACGACCGGATAGAGTGCAAAGCTTCTAAATGTACTTTTTCCCAATCAGATATGTCCAGATTTTTACTTTTAAGTGATAGTTCGATTGTCTTCCATATAATACCAACATACCTCTCAGCTTGTCCGTTGCCCTGAGGATTGTAAGCTGTTGTACGACTGGTAGCAACTCCTAGTGAACATAAAAATGATTTTAGTTCTTGAGACATAAAACATGAACCTCTGTCAGAATGAATATAAGCTGGTACTCCAAACATTGAGAAAAGTTCCTTAAGTCTCAGAATAACAGTCCTAGCAGCTGTGTCTTGAGTAGGGAATGTGAATGGAAATCGAGAGTATTCATCTACGACTATTAAAAGATAACGATTTCTACTCTTGGAAGGAAGTGGCCCTTTAAAATCTATATTCAGTCTTTCGAATGGTTGAGTAGCTTTAATAAGTTGTCCTTCATGTTTGTGGAATCGAGGTTTTACCTCTAAGCAGGTTCGACAGGAGGAAGTTACTTTTCTGATCTCATCCAGTGAATAAGGCAAGTTTTTACTCCGAGTCCAATGATACATTCGAGACACTCCTGGATGACATAAAGCGTCATGTAGTGATACAAGGTTTGATAAACTTCCTTCCATCGATGAACACACCCTGGATAAAGCATCTGCTGTTTTGTTCTCTTTTCCAGCTCTGTAAATGATCTCATACTTATAACAGGATAACTCAATTCTCCATCTCATTATTTTATCATTCTTGATTTTGCTTGCATTCCGATCACTGAACATGAATGCTACAGATCGTTGGTCTGTTATAAGGCGAAAGTGTCTGCCTATGAGATAGTGCCTCCATTTTCTTAACGCTTCAACTATTGCATATGCTTCTTTCTCAATAGATGAATGTTTCTGTTCTGAGTTAGTAAGTGTTCTAGAGAAAAACGCTACGGGTCTACCATCAATAGTCAAAGCTGCTCCTATTGCATGATTTGATGCATCAGTTTCAACTGTTAACAACCCATCACAGTCAATCGAAGAAGTTACTGCATTAACAATGTCTTGTTTAAGTCTTTGGAATATACATTTAGCTTCTTCATTCAGTGGAAATGAACTACTGTTTAAACAGCTCACCTTCTCAGAAAATTTAGGAATGAATTGTGAATAGTGGGAGAACATACCAAGAGCTCTGTGAAGAGAGTTTGAGTTGGTTGGAATGGGAAGATCTCGAAGTGGTTGCAGACGATCTGGATCTGGTCTTATTGATTTATGACTGATTACATAACCTAATAGATGGATCATGGCTGTAGAAAACTTGCATTTATGTTTGTTCAAGGTAAGATTATATTTGGAAACAGCTTTCATAAAATTGCTCAAGTTCCTGTCATGTTCAGCCTGATCATTGCCACAGATTGTTATATCATCCAGATAGACCTGAACACCTTCAAGTTTTTCATAAGTGATTATGTTGGTTAACGTATGTTGAAAAGCAGGGACACCATTACGAACTCCAAAAGGCACTCGTGTGAATTGGTACAAATTCCCGCAAGCTTCAAATGCCGTGTAAGGTTTGTCATTTTCTGTTATTGGGATTTGATGATAGGCACTCTTAAGATCAATAGAACTATAAACTTTGTATGAAACTACTTTGTTGACTATGTCATCAATCCTAGGGAGTGGAAATGCATCAAGTTCTGTAAAACGATTAATTGTCTGTGAATAATCAACAACCATTCTCCGTTTGTGGTTATCTGATGAAACAACAAGGACTTGTGCTCTCCATGGAGACCTGCTTTCTTCAATAATACCCTCTTTTAACAGTAATTGAATTTCACTTTCAATAAACTGTTCGTCAATTGCTGAGTGCCTTCGAGATTTTGTTGCAATAGGCTTACAATCTGGAGATAGATTACGAAATAGTTCTACTGGCTCAACATTAGCTAAAGCCACACTACATATGTTGAGAGGCGACTCTTTTCCTCCAAATTGTACTTGTAAACTTGAGTGTCTTTTTAGAATGTCATGTCCTATAATAATGTCAGAACATAAGTTTGTAAGTACGCTGAAGACCACATTCTTGTAAGTATGATCTTGTAATTTAAGATTGATTTTACAGTACCCTTTTATTGAAGAACGCAGAGTTGTGGAAGCCATTGATACCTCTCCCCCATTACATGGAATGACAGGGATGTTGAATCTAAGTGCTGAGCTTTGATTGATAAAACTACCAGAACTACCAGTATCTATAAGAGCGTATGCATCGACTCCATTTAATTGTACTGGGACTACAGCTTTAATCAAACACGATGGTACTGAGGCAATACAATTTGACTGATGGACTGATGCCTTTACTGTAGAAGTTGGTGTTTTGGATTTTTTACATACCTTTTGGTAATGACCTTTAATGCCGCATCCTCTGCATATAGCTTCTTTAGCTGGACAAACAGCTCTATTGTGTTTCTTAAAGCCGCAGAAGTAACATGTCTGATTGAGTGAACACGCTATATTTTCTTGAGATGGATACGATTCTGGCTTGGCAGCAGAAGGTGTTGGATCAGGACTGGACAAGTATGGATTCTTTTCAGTGATAGGTTTTGAGGCTGCAGCGTTGATTGTTGGTAAGCACTTGTCTAAGTTGTACTGTTCAGAGTGATATTTAGCAAGTTCGAGTGATTTGGCTTGAGAAACTGCTTCATCTAAAGACAAAGTAGAGCTTTCCAACAACCGTTGACGAATGTGAGGTACTAGCAAGCCATCAATGAATGTGTCTCTGATATATTCATCTCTACTTGATACAGCATTGACAGCTTTAAAGTTACAATCTTTGGAAAGTCGCTTCAGAGATTCTACGTATGTATCAATTTCTACGTATGACGTGCATAAATTTCATTGACAGGTTTCAAGTACAACCTTTTTAACACATCAATTGCTTGTTTGTATGTTTCACAGTCATTTACATATTCATAAACGGATGGTGAAATGAAATTGGTTAATACTTTAAGCCTCAATTCTTCACTGATTTTACTAGTTTCAATAAAGTTTTCAAAAGTGTGAAACCAGTGTTTCCAATCTTGACTTCATTGACTTCATTAGGATTGGCATTAAATCTTTCAGGTCTGAGTATCCGTTCCAAGAAAAAAGATTGATGTATATTTTAATAAAATCTTCTATGTTCAATAAATTGTTGTAGATTGAATGAATAAAACCATTATAAACGAAATTACCTTTAGTTAGGCTTTATTGAACATAGAATCTACCATGATATAGAACTAACAATATGAAACAAACTAACATCATAGTAAACAAAAACAACTTCTAAACATTTGAACAGATGTTACAATGCACAGATAGAAAGGAATTATATGACACCTTGGTATTTTGATTCTTGAACTTTTAAGTGATTCAAACGATCAATAGCTCAAATTAAAGCCTATAACTTACTGATCATCATCAAAAACAAACAATACAGGAGGTATTGATTTTTAATCATAGAAAACCATATAAAAAATAATTTTTATGTTGGTTATTCACCTTGCGTTTGCTGGAAACTTGTCTGATTTGAATAACTAATAACTTAGGATAAATGAAAGCCGGTATTTCACTGAAGGTTCTTAGGCCAAAATATATAGGATTAGGGCCTATACAGTGTGATTGAAAAGTCCCGGAACGGTGTAATATATCTTTTATAAGTCATAATATACTATTATAGATAAAGGAATGAAACTTGGTAAATCAATTAGGTAAATCAATTATAGCGATAAATGTCTTCTCTTTTAAGCTGTTATTACTTTTTTATCCCTTAAGGCCACGAGGAGTCAGACAAAATTCTTCAATAGCAGCAAAGGTCAAGTTTGGTATCAAGGTAAAGGTATC